AAAGTGGTTAAGCAAATAATAATAATAATAATAATAATAATAATAATTGGCAGGGATCCCAGACCAATAAAATTAGTGTGCCTCCTCTATTTTAAAACCCACGAGCCACCACTGCTTTTGTAAACTTCCTAAAGTTACAAATAATGGTACTGGTGATAGCGATCATGTGGTGAATGTTGATCCACCAGCCGAAAAGAAGGCGTACAGTTTTCAGAGAGAATGGTTGAAAGACTTCCAGATGAGTGGCTCCGCTATGAAAATGCACTGTGCTCTATGCACTGCATTCACTTTAAAGCCTGTGGGACAGAGTTTGCAGGTAACACTAACAGCGTTCGCCACCGAATCTACACATTTTAAGCTCGAGAGCTTGGTTAAACACGGAGAGAGTGCCAAACACAAGAAATGCAGGGACAAGTGTGTGGCAAAATGTTCAGGATCATCAGGTTAAATTGTTAAGGCATTTAATTGTCAGGATGCTCACGTAGGGGTCTGCGATAATATCGTAATTATTGTTTTAACGATGTGCGATTTGACATTATCGAGTATATTGCAAAAACCAAACAAAACACCTAGAGTGCACGCATACATGACGTGATGAAGTCTGGTAGATTAGACTAGTGCGCCTGCGCATTTAGAGTGCGTTTTTTTTCACTGCATGATTCAGTCTATTAAAATACATTACAAAATTCAAGATATGGGGGCGTTTCATCATTTCATATAGTTAATATCGCACGAAGAGTGCCGTTTTTTCCTCCAAAAATCAGCATGATTACAAATGTGATATTGATTTTAAACAACAGTTCAATAAAAAAGAAGTTAATATTAAGAGACTTATGTTTTAGACACCATATTTCCTGTTTTTGCTCTATTTCGACAACAAAAATTATTCCAAAAACAGCCACAATGCTGTTTTGCATCTCTGACCAACATGACGGTGATTCGTTCCTGAATGAATCAACAGTTTAAATGATTAAGTTGAATCACAATGACTCACTTATTAACAGTGATTTGCTGCCACCTATTTTTTTTTTTCACTGCATGATTCCGTCGATTAAAATGCATCACAAAATTCAAGATATGGGGGCTTTATATCATTTCATATAGTTAAAGGGGTCTTATGATGTTGCTAAAAGGAACATTATTTTGTGTATTTGGTATAATGAAATGTGTTTGTGGTTTTAGGTTAAAAAAACACATTATTTTCCACATAATGTAAATTATTGTTTCTCTTCTATGCCCCGCCTTTCTGAAACGCGTCGAGTTTTACAAAGCTCATCGGTCTGAAAAGCG